AAAATCATGCATTGCTGTTGTCTAATTAACTTTGGATGCTCAGATGCAGTGGTATAATAGTCATCTAATAAATACGAAAAGACACCTCTGAAACAACTGAAAATTCTAATGTGCATCTTAAGCTTCCGTAATCTTGATGGAAAATGCTTCACATTGAATATTGGCTTGACGTGACCCTAAAATAGTATAACTCAATCAAAACAGAATCTACAAGACTCCTTCGAGATGTTCGTCTATTGTCAAGTAACTCCGGATGCAGATATCTTGGGAATACAATAACTGTTGTATTTTGTCCTCATAAATACCCTTAAATTGATGGCGAATATTACTAGATTACAGTATATTATCACTTCAACTGGAGCAATAGATTGACGCATGTACAAATTTGTTTGACTGTGTAGATTGTGAACCAAACTGATGTCTTACAACGTGAAGTAGAGAGTCTACGTAGTCAGCTGAGCAGTGAACGTGATTCAATTCGCAACCTGGAAGGGTTGTTATCCAACAACAGAGAAAAAGAATTCCAGACACAGATAGAAAACCAAGAGCAAAGATCTGATATCCAACTAATGAGAGACAAATTATCACTTTCTGACAGTAAAGTGTAAGTACCATGCAAGTCTCAAAGAGAGGTTACTATCCATTTTAGTACAAATACACAATAAATTTGATGCACATGCATATGCTATGGGTAGTATCAGACCCATGTCAAAGCCAAATCGTCGTGCTGATCAAATTTAGCGCTTTGACAGCCATGTGCCACTTTGTTTAGTTTCCGTTCGGACCTCTGTGCGTGTGTCTGTATTATACATATGCTCGTCAATTTGTTTTCACGATCTGATTCAAAATGGCTGAATGGTTGTCATTTTTGTACTGAATCAAAATCATTAAAATCAAGCCTGGCTGTTTACAGATAGATTTTGTTCAAACTTGGTACATACACTGGAGATTATGGGACTTTGATGCACGTCATTTTGTTTTTCAGATCAGATTCAAAATGGCCAACTGGCAGCCTTTTTGTTTTAATGACTGTGATTCTAGTGTCATATCTCTCAATATGGACAAGTACTTCAATGTACTATATATTACTATAAACAAAACTATACAACTTAGATTTGATAACTAACGGGGACTGTGCCATCCATAGCTTGTTATAAATAAAATGTCTGATTACAAAACTGAATATTGGTTTATCTTACTTAATTCCCTTGTTCGGCAGGAATTTGAAGGTTTACAAAATGCTGATAAAATATTTAGAAAAAGTACAATTTTCATTATTACACATACATCACAGTATTCGTACATACATCTGTGGGACAAAAGCCAAGTATATATACATTCAGCTTCCGTCTCCTGTTACCTGTTTTGTAACATTTGCTACAAGTGTACTGAGAAATTAACTTTATTTTAATTCAACTTTTTACAGACAAAGTCAGACTCGTGAAATTCATAGTTTGAGAACACGTACTGCTCAGTTGGAATCTGAGTTAGAGAGAATCAGAAGACAATTGACAAGTGAAAGATTTGAAAGGTGATTATACCCATGATTCTCAATCCTTCAACCCACCATCATTTTCTTTCCATATTCAGGGATGAGAATTTTCCGCTGATCCATGGAATTCCGCGGATTTCTAGATAGGGATAGATTTTCTGAAACGTCTAAATCCGAAGAGAAAATTTTAGGGGGGCGGGGGTAAAAAACAAATCTTGTTCATTCTCAGGAAGTAAACACACGTCATTGTTGCTGCAAGAGGCCTGTATCAGTGTATGGTCGAAGGGAGACAACTCGCGGTGTCTCCAATGCAGAATGTTTGTGACTGTTTTTATCTGTGCAATCGTAAAATCTGAAGTGGTTTCTAAGTGTTCGAAGTAATATGTAACGATTAACATGATTGACTGGGTTTGCTCTGATGGGCCAATCAGTGAAGAGCCTTCATTTTTTCTTTTCACCAACTTTTCAAATTGTTAGCTGTGTTGGATCGTTGTTTACAAGTTTTAATGCAGCGATAATGGTGAAATTGGTTACAAAAGATAACTAGTTCGGTGTGCAAGAGATCGATAAAGACATTAGGAACAAATTTCGTTGGGCATGGCTTGACAAGAAAGTGACTTTGACTGTGCAAATCCCTGCACATTTTTGGAGCAGCGTTCGACATATTTTAATGTATTTTTCTATAATTTCTTGAATAATCATTGAGCAAATGAACACTGTTTCTCATGAGCTGCAGGTCTAGATCAATTTTTTTTTAAAAATATGGAAATAATTATCAATTTATGAAATGTGAAAAATTTGACTTTGTAGCCTTCAAAGGATAATTTCATAAGTGTTTGTGCATCCTAACAGTTGATGTCGTTGGGAAAATAATAAGATATTATGCTTATTACTTACAGGGAGAGAGTTTCTCAGGAACTGCGCCGTGTTGGTCTTACACCCCCACCACTTGCAGATACATCTGGCAGACTATCCCGTACATCTTTACGTTCTGGAAGTCCTGACAGATCTTACCGGTCACCAGACAGATCCATTCTGAGATCCCCAGATCGATATAGATCCTCATCGGCTGATAGAAGTAGGGCCGAATCACCATACTTGAAACAAAGCAATGTACTCATGGATGATCAGTTTGATCAGGATGATATTGTTTCTGGTCTCCATAATTTGTCATATAGCGGGGTGAGTCAGTAGATAGAGATATC